TCTGTGGTTTCCATTACAACATCACTTTTTCATCTCTGATTTTATTAGTTTGGGTATTTTCCCTTTTCTTTGGTTAGTTAAGCCTATGGTGTATCAATTTTATTTGTTTATTTTTTCAAAAACCAGCTCTTCATTTCTCTGATTTTTGAATAGTTTTGTTTCAATTTCATTTCTTCACTAATTTTAACTATTTATTTCCTAATACTGCTTTTGTGTCTGTTTTTTATTGTGTTTTCTTAGATCTCAGTATGCATTCTTAAATCATCTATCTGATGCCTTTCCAATTGCTTGATGTTGGCACAAACTCCTATAAAGTTTCTCATAACACTGCTTTTGCTGTATCCCATAAGTTTGATTTGTTGTATTGTAATCTTCATTCATTTCTAGCAACTTTTTTTAAAGGTTTAGTTATTTATTTGAAAGTCAGAGTTACACAGAGAGAGGAGAGACAGAGGAGAGAGAGAGTGAGAGAGAGAGAGAGGTCTTCCATCTGATAGTTCACTTCCCAATTGGCCACCAATGGCTGGAGCTGCACTGATCCAAAACCAGGAGCCAGGTGCCTCCTCCGGGTCTCCCACATGAGTACAGGGGCCCAAGGACCTGGGCTGTCTTCTACTGCTATCCCAGGCCATAGCAGAGAGCTGCATTGGAAGTGGAGCAGCCGGGTCTCAAACCAGCGCCCATATGGGATACCGGTGCTTCAGGCCAGGGCATTAACCCACTGCGCCACAGTGCCAGCCCCTTCTAGCAACTTTTTAAAATTATTTTTTAAGGAATACAAATTTCATACATACAACTTTAGGAATATAGTTACTCTTCCCACCATACCCACTCTCCCACGCACGTTTCCATACCTCTTCCTCCTCCCTCTCCTCTTCCCAGTCTCATTCTCCATTAAGATTCATTTTCAATTACTTTCTAGCAAGTTTTTGATTTTTCCTGTAATCCTCAGTTCAATGAGAAGCATGTTTTTAGTCTCTATGTGTTTGCATAAATTTTGGAGTTTCTTACTCTTTAGCATCATAAAACTGTGGTCAGAAAAGATGCATGCGGATTTCATTTTTTTTGAATTTGCTGAGACTTGTTTTAATGGCCTAACATTTATTCTACCCAAGAGAAAGATCCATGCACTGATGAAAAGGATGTGTATTCTGTTGTGGTTTGAAATGTGCCATAAATATCAACTAGGTCCATTTGGTCCATATTGAAGATTATTTGTGTTGTTTCTCTGTTGATTTTTGTCCAGTTTTCTGTCCATTGGCTAAACTGTAGTGTTGAAGTCTCTTATTATTATTATATTTGAGAATATGTCTCCCTGTAGAGATATTAATATTTGTTTTAAATAGCCAAGAACCCTGGTATTGGGTGCATATGTATTTATTATAGTGACAACACCCTGTTGAATCATTAATTGATACTTTCTTTGTCTCTTTCAACAGATTTTGTGTTAAAGTCTATGTTGTGTGATATTAAGATGGCTACTCCTGCTGTGTTTGCTTTCTGTTAGCCTGGAATATCTTTTTCTATCATTTTCTTTCAGTCTGTGTGTATTTTGTTTGGGAGGCATGTTTCTTTGAGGCAGCTAATACAGAGGTCTTGTTTTTTAAACCTTTCAGTAAGTCTATATATTTTATTGTAGAATTAAGCCATTTATATTAAAGTTTATTGTTTGTAAGTAACGACTTGGTCCTGCCATTTTTCCCAGCTATTCCTATTCTTCGCTTTAGATTTCCTTTGTATTTTTACTAGCACCTTTTTCTGCATTCACAATCTTTCATAATGATGCATATGTTCTCTATTTCTGTGTGTAGCAAATCCTTAAGTATCATTTGTAAGTCTGCATGAATTGAGAAAAATCCTTTCAATTTCTGTTTGTTTTGGAAGGCCTTTATTTCTCCTTCATTTATAAATGAGAGCTTTGCTGTATACAGTATTCTGCATTGACAGATTTTTATTCTTTTATTATTTGGACTATGTCTCTCCAGTCCCTCTTAGTCGTAGGGTTGCTGATTAGAAATCAGCTGTCATTCTAATTGGTGATCATCTGAAGATAATCTGGACTCTCTTATGCACATTTTAGAATCTTTTCTTAAAGTTTTACTGTAGAAAGTGGTGGGGCAAGGGAGCTCTGGTCATTGCAGCTGGTAGGTCAAGAGTCCAGTGTGACAGCCGAGTTGGGCATGGTAAGTCTGCTCTATTTTCAGCATTGGGAGAGTATGATGGCATCAGGTAGCATGATCACAGCTTGCTCTCCTCTCTGCCAAGGTGACCAATGCTCATGGTGAGCCCACAATGGCTACACATCCCATTAACACAAGCATAGGAACTGCACAGAGGATCTCTGTGGTCTTCAGTGTGAGCACAGAACTCTCTGCAATGCCCCCCTCCCTAGGCACTCAGAGAACTCTGAATCTCTGAAGTGACACATGGATTTACCAGAGACCCAGCTACACCCAGGCCTATCATTTAGTCACAGATTTCAGGTGAGCTGGGCTCCCACAGTCAAAGGGACAGGGAATCCACTCTCAGCTCTGCTAGCCTACACCATCCTCAGAGAGAGCCCAAGTATTCCCAAAGCCAACTGCCACTCAATTCTGTTGGGTTACTATTCCTGTCTCAAATGTTTATAAAACCCAAGAATGAATCCATAGTGGTCTGAAGTATTTCCTTGGATAGATAGTTAATTATGAATTGAATTTCCATAATACAAATGACTAGTGAGAATTTGATCTTGTGTTTCCATGTTGTTTTTTGAATTGTTTTCTCAAGAAAATTACCTGTTTCATCCAAGTTTTTTTAATTTGGAGGCATAAAATTATACACAATATTTTTTATATCACTTAAATGACTGTTAGTAACATACAAAGGAGTTTCCTTTTTTTCGTTGCTGATATTGATAACTAGTGTACTATTTTGGTGAGGGAAACTATCTTCATAGGAGTTTATGAAGTTTAAAGAATCTTTCAAAGATATAATTTCACATACATTATTGTTAGCTATTTCATGGTTTTCTGCATTTTATCTTAAGTATGATGTTGCTTCAAAGTGTGTGTGTTTGTGTGTTTGTGTGTGTGCGTGTGTATGTGTGTATGTCTTCTGTCAGGGAAATTTGGTTCATTTCTTTGCAAGCTTTCATCTTTTCTGATAAATGAATGTAATTCAGTAAGTTCCCTGTAAGAATTGCCAAAGCTGTAATCCAAGTGTTTTGAGGAGCTATATAATTTCATTCTAAATAAGTTCAAAATAATGCCTTATTGCAATTTGTATCCTCTTTGACTAATAAATTTTATATAAATGTGATTTGTTTCCAAACATCTATAGGCAATCTGGTTGTTGTTTATTTGTTTAGCTTTCTATTCTTTTATCCTTGGCTCTGGTTTTTTGAGTATTGATTTAATGACTCAAAATATATTCTATTCGGTAAATACAAATATTTTAAAATATATTTTCTACAGTTACTTTCATAAGTGTATCTCTCTCTCTCTCTCTCTCTCTCTCTATATATATATATATATATATACACACACACACACCAATTCATTCAAGTGGGCAAAGATGTTGTATAAGGCACTGCTCTATTTCATCATGTTGGGATTTCTTTCCACATCTCTGGTCTGTGACCCATGTTTCTACATTCTACATACTCAATCAGGAAAAGGGGAAGATATAATGGGAAACGGAACTGACCAGTGTTAAATATAGGATCCAAGGCACGGTAGATGATCAAAGCAGATTTCTTCCTAGGACACTTTTGTACAGATTCTGTGGAGGCTTCCAAATGCCTTTTAGCTCTCTCTGCATTTCTTCTGATTTAGGAAATGCATTTTCCTCTGATGGCTGCAAATACATTTCTCTCTAGGCCATGCAAATTTGCCTGTGTATTGTGTAGATTACTTGGCCCACCACAACCCTTTTTTCCTCTTCCTTTCTCCCATTCAGGAATTAAAATGACACCAGGCCAGGTCTCTTTCAGAGCCTTTACTAAGCTATGAACAAAGCCAAACATCCTTGCCATATATTACTGGACATGTACTTAGCAGCCACTCTCCTTATCTCAATTCTGATGCTTCAGTTTAACAGTTACGTGATTATAGCTCTTAGATTGCTTGAAACTGTCAAGTCACAATGCACTTCAATACAGGAAACACATGGAAAGCTTGCCTGTAAGAGTTCTTGCCGCCTCACACACAAAGAGTAAGGTTTAGAGGTTTTCGACATTGAGGAGCAGAGAAGAGAATCTCACAGGATGTTGAACCTTGGCAAAAATACATAAACAAACGCTTCCTCATTTACAGTATATATCTAACTGTATTTTGGCTGAATTCTTTCTTTTTTTTTGACAGGCAGAGTTAGACAGTGAGAGAGAGAGAGAAAGGTCATCCTTCTGTTGGTTCATGCCCCAAATGGCCACTATGGCCAGCGTGCTGCACTGATCCGAAGCCAGGTGCCAGGTGCTTCCTCCTGGTCTCCCGTGTGGGTGCAGGGCCCAAGCACATGGGCCATCCTCGACTGCCTTCCCAGGCCACAGCAGAGAGCTGGACTGGAAGAGGAGCAACCGGGACAGAACCGGCACCCTGACCAGGACTAGAACCCGGAGTGCCAGCGCCACAGACAGAGGATTAGCCTAGTGAGCCGTGGTGCCGGCCAGGTTGAATTCTTTATAATGTCCTGTTGAGTGATGAACTTGGATTTCATATTACTTTTTCTGTATGAGTGCTTTAATATCTTTTACTGGAGTATGTGTACATTTGATATTCCCTTCCTGTGGCCTCAGCAGAATCGGGGACAAACAGCCGTTCTCCAACATGATTTTATATTAAAATCATTGCCTTAAGAAGAAATATGCTATGTATGAAGCAGGACAAAATGTCATCTGTAACAAGGACTTCAGCTACCTGGACAATATTTTCATCAAGTATAGGACTTGCCTTCAAAATTGTAAATGATATTCCGTAGGCTCTAAGCCTTATTAAATTTCTTTTATTCCTTTATGCACTCAGGCTCGGAGCCACTGTACCCTTTTATGGCTTGATACTCAACCTACAGGAACTGGGAAGCAGTATCTTCATGTTCCAGATCCTCTTTGGAGCTGTCCCATTCATATCCAGATGTATTATCCTTTTTATAATGAAATACATGGATCGTCGGAAAAACCAGTCATTGTTTTTCTTCCTGGCAGGACTTTGCATTCTGGCCAACGCCTTTTTGTCCAAAGGTGAGAGAGGCAGGAGTTTGGGGGAAGGAATTGGTTTCCCTCAGTCCTCAGGAATTATGTGGGTTTATATGTGGCCAAAAAGAGAATGCTACTGGCTTTGAGAGTTGAAGGCTTGCTTGAAATTAACAAGACAGCTTGAAAGTGCTCCTGATAAAAATTCATTGGCATGTCTTAGGCTCCAACTGAGCCAGTGTCAGCAAGGGGTGGCTCAGATACACAGGTGTCTTCATGACATGCAGGATGAACCTGAACACCAGTACCGACTACACAGAGTCACTCTCTACCAGTTACAGCACAGACCGTTGGCTAATCATGCTGTAATACACATGGAAGGGGTTGGCCTTGCTGCTGTGTCCCCAAACGCACACACAGTGCTCTCATCGCGTCTGTCTGGCACTCTTTCCAGTGTTAAGGGATTCCTGTTTTGGCATCTCACTCACCCTTTCATTTTCACTTTTTTTTTAAGTCTGTCATTTAAGTCACCATAAATACAAAAGAATTTTAGGAGAAACTCTTTGACTAAGTGAAATAAAAGCCCTGTCTTCAATCAGAGAACTCTATGGCAAGAACAAGAGTCTCATCTGATTTCATTGTTTAACTTGTTTTGTGTTCTGTGGCTCAAAATGATGAGCTTCACACCACCTCGTGCAAATTGGCTGACTTAGAGAATACCCTTCTCCATTATTTAGTCCTATCGGGGGTAGTTGCTGTGGTGTATCAGGTAAAGCCGCAGCCTGAAGTGCCAGCATCCTATATGGGTGCCATTTCAAACCGTGGCTGCTCCACCTCTGATTTACCTCTCTTTTATGGTTGGAAAGCAGTAGAGGATGGCCCAAGTGCTTGTGCCCCTGCAACCATGTGGGAGGCTTGTAGGAAGGTCCTTGATCCTTGCTCCTGACTTCAGGTTTGGCTCATCTATGGCCATTGTGGCTATTATGGTAGTGAACCAGCAGATGGAAGACTCATTCTCTCTCTCTCTCTCTCTCTCTCTGCCTCTGTTTCTCTGTAACTTTGCCTTTCAAGCAAAAAATAAAGCTTTAAAAATAAACATATGGGCTGCCGCCATGGCTCAACAGGCTAATCCTCTGCCTAGCGGCGCCAGCACACCAGGTTCTAGTCCCGGTCTGGGTGCCGGATTCTGTCCCGGTTGCCCCTCTTCCAGGCCAGCTCTCTGCTGTGGCCCAGGAGTGCAGTGGAGGATGGCCCAAGTGCTTGGGCCCTGCACCCCATGGGAGACCAGGAGAAGCACCTGGCTCCTGCCTTTGGATCAGCGTGGTGCGCCGGCCTTAGCGCGCCAGCCGTGGCGGCCATTGGAGGATGAACCAATGGCAAAGGAAGACCTTTCTCTGTCTCTCTCTCTCACTATCCACTCTTCCTGTCAAAAAAAAAATATATGAAGTTCTATTAGTTTTTTCCATTGAATTTTATAAGTTCCTTTTTGAATTTTTAGTATTAATGTTTCCCTGGATAACATTACTTATGTCCAAATACAAGTCTTAATTCTCTCATAAACTACTGTTCTAGATCCTGTATCTCTTCACGCTATCCACTCTAAATAGATACAATCTACTTGTTACTATTTGGTAGAATACTTGTCGTATATCAAAAATGGTCCCCACACTCTTAATTATAAACTGTTCAATACTAAAGTATTTCCAGTTACTACCTGTAATGTAAGTACATACAGTAACCTATGAAATGACTGATGTTATATATAATATATAGTATATATTATATATTATATATAATATAATATATAATATAACCATATATATATTTATTATCTGTAAATACATCTATGTCTTACAGAAATTATACAGTAAAATTTACTCCAATGTGCAGAAAGACTTGAAGCAACTGATTTTCACTCATTGTTTAAGCCATGACATTATACAGTCAGTGCTCACTCATCCGTAACAGTGCACAATCATTCCATAACTTCTAGAATGTGCAGTTCTTATACATTAGATTTTACACTTGAACTCCCCACTGACCTTCCGACAGTTGTTCCACAGTTATTTGGAGGTTGAAAGATTTCTCCATCCAAGGTTTCCTGACTCTTGCTGGTCTTCCTTTCTCCAGAGATGCAGACTCTACGTGTGATTTTAGCCACTTTGGGAGTTGGTGCTATTTCTGCTGCCCTTACTGCCTTTTCAGTCCATTCTGTAGAACTCATCCCTACTATATGCAGGTACAAGAATAAAAGACCTATGCTTGCTTTCCAAAATGTATTTTTCTATAATAATTCGTATTTATTTTGGGAATAAAATTGAGACTGTCTAGATGTCAGTGGAATAAATGGTGATGCAAATGAAGGAAACAATAACAAACTATTAATAAAGCTAACTTTATACCTGAGAATCTGCCAAGTCCAACAACGCATCATTTCATTTACCTTAAGAACCACTCTACAGAATTGGTGCTACATTGATCTCTACCTCAATAATGATGAAATTAAGGTTTTGAGCAATTACTAACATCATAAAATCAAGCAGGATATATATAATAGAAGCAAATCTCACTATTAAGGGCTTGCTGTGTGTGTAATAACTGATTCAGTATGCTCCATACTGAAAGCAAGATGATAAACAAGATGTTGCATGTAATATTTGTACAAAATTTTTTTTATTGTTATTTGCACACAAAGGTCAACAATTACGGGAATCAATAATGTGTTCTCAAGAATTGGGGCAGTATTTGCCCCCTTACTCATGACCTTAATAGTGTATTCTCCCCACCTGCCCTGGATCATGTATGGAGTCTTCTGCATCTTTTCTGGCCTGATTGTCTTCTGCCTTCCGGAAACCAGGAATCAGCCTCTTCCTAACACCATTCAGGATGTGGAAAAGGAGTGAGTAAATCCTGTAGCAGTCACCAGAGTGGGTTGTAATTGTGTTCATATCATTGTCATGAGGAAAGGAATGACCCTTTAGGCTTTTGTCCAAGTGGGCGCAACCAGGGGGGCTGTTTGTCTCCATGTCCTTGAGTTCAGTGGCAGTGTTGCCCCATGCACAGAAGTGTCAGATTCTTTGTGAGACTCCCTAGGTAACAGAGACAGTGCCACACTGTGGTGAAAGGCCAAAAGTTTTCTCATTATGATTGGTTCATACTCTCTACCCTTATGAGAAAGACACACTGCTAACATTTTCTCAGAAATCTACTGAAATGTAATGCTTCATTCTTATCATGCCAGTTTTATCATCCATCAACCCAATGAGTGCTTGATAAATATGGGAAAGAACTAAGTTTGCCTATTGGACATAAACCCATTTAGTGATTTAATTAGGTAGAATTATGGGACTAGAATATGGAACAAACTTCCTTTCAGGGTTGCCACTATATCTACAGATGGTTGGTCTGTTGGGATATTTATTTTTTTTAACTTTTATTTACTGAATATAAATTTCCAAAGTACAGCTTATGGATTACAATGGATTCCCCCCCATAACATCCCTCCCACCCGCAACCCTCCCCTTTACTACTCCCTCTCCCCTTCCATTCACATCAAGATTCATTTTCGATTCTCTTTATATACAGAAGATCAGTTTAGTGTACATTAAGTAAAGATTTCAACAGTTTGCTCCCACACAGAAACATAAAGTGAAAAATACTGTTTGAGTACTAGTTATAGCATTAAATCTCAATGTACAGCACACTAAGGACAAAGATCCTACATGAGGAGTAAGTGCACAGCGACTCCTGTTGTTGACTTAACAAATTGACACTCTTGTTTATGGCATTAGTAATCACCCTAGGCTCTTGTCATGAGCTGCCAAGGCTATGGAGGCCCCCTGAGTTCACTGACTCTGATAATTTTTAGACAAGGCCATGGTCAAAGTGGAAGTTCTCTCCTCCCTTCAGAGAAAGGTACCTCCTTCTTTGATGACCCGTTCTTTCCACTGGGATCTCCCTAGCGGCTATCTTTCATTTAGTTTTTTTTTTTTCCCCAGAGTGTCTTGGTTTTCCACGCCTGAAATACTCTCATGGGCATTTCAGCCAGATCGCATGCCTTAAGGCCTGATTATGAGGGCAGAGTGCTGTTTGGGACATCTGCCATTCTATGGGTCTGCTGTGTATCTCACTTCCCATGTTGGATCATTCTCTCCCTTTTTGATTCTATCAGCTAGTATTTGCAGACACTAGTCTTGTTTATGTGATCCCTTTGGTTCTTAGTCCTATCATTACGATCAATTGTGAACAGAAATTGATCACTGGGACTAGTGAGATGGCATTGGTACATGCCACCTTGATGGGATTGAATTGGAATCCCCTGGTATGTTTCTAACTCTACCGTTTGAGGTAAGTCAGCTTGAGCATGTCCCGAATTGCACATCTCTTCCCTCTCTTATTCTGTTGGGATATTTGTGAGACATGCACAGTTATTTTATATCTTCTTTGTTTCTTGACTTTGTTTTTGTTGGATTTGTTTTTCCCAGCACAAAAGATTCAAGGGGAATAAAGAATGAAGACACTTCCCTGAAAATAACACAATTTTAAGGCATTCCAAGAATTGATCCGAAGAAGAGCTAAAAAACAAAGCTTGTTCCTATGTATTTGTAAAACCAGTGAAAATACAATGTATAAATGGATGCCTTTTACATTCATAGAACTAAATATATCAATTTTCTCAGAATAATTTATGAGTTTAAGTAATTCAACCAACCAACTGTTTACATGGGGGAGGAGTAGTTGAAAACTAGCTCCAACTTCATCCACAACATATTAACAGTTATGATGATTTATAAAAAGCAGCATTATTCATGTGATCTAGCTATCCCAGGATTGGTATTTGCAAAGGAAATGTAATCACTATGTCAAAGAGATATCTGCACTCCCATGTTTATTGAAACACTATTCATTATAGCCAAAATGTGGAATCAATGTAAAATCCAATAGATGAATAGATACTGAACAAGTAATATAGATACTGAATATTATATGATTCAGCTATTAAAAAGAGAAAATCCTATCATTTTAAACAAAAGGATGGAACTGCAGGACATTATGAAAAAGAAAAATGTCAATGATGGAAAGACAAGTGCTGCATGATCTAACTCATATGTAGAATCTATGATAAGTAGATTTCACAGAAATAGAGCATAGATGTTGGTTACCAGAGAGTAAGGCAGTTGGATGAGGAATACAGGTAGGGAAATGCTGGTAAAGAATATAAAATTACAGTTATGTAGAAAGTGTAAGTTCAAGAGATCTGTTGTACAGCCTCCTGACAATAGTTAATAACAACTTAGTGTATCCTTTAAAAATGATGAAAGTGGATGGTATTATAACTGTAAAAAATTATAACAATGAAATAATGAAATGGGAAACAGCCAGATTTAAACACTCTGTTATGCAAATATACATCAAAAGTTGTATTCTATATAATAAATATAATTATCTATGAAGTCAAAAGTAAATTTGAAAGAAAAGGGCACATCATGGGGAAACCAATGGTCATATATGATAAAGTGTATCATGAACAGGAGTAGCCACATTAATATTAGACACAATAGACAACACAAAACTATTAAAAATACAAAGGACATTATGTAATGAACAAGAGAAAAGTTCAAAGGGAAGCTGGAATCATACTAAATGTATATGCATGCAACACCAGGGTGGCTGGCTGTTTAAAACAAATTTTAGTGGATTTAAAGAGTCTTAGGCCCCAACAGAATAATAAAAGGGTCTCTGACAGCCACTTTCATCAATGAATAGATCATCTAAACAGAAAATCAACAAACAGCAGAGGTAATCTGCCATATGATAGATATATTTGATACCTGCAGAACATTTCACCCGGGGCAGATAGAGGATAGAATATGGATAAACCTGCCATTGAGTAGTGGGTGAAGATGCCACCTACAGTGCCAGGATCTCCTTTAGATACTGGTTTGAGTCCTGGCTGTTCCATTTCTGATCCAGCTCTCTTATGATATGCCTGTTAAAGCAGTGGAAGATGGCCCAAATATATGAGCCCCTACACCCACGTGGGAGACTTTGAAGAGCCTCCTCCCTTCTGGCTTCGGATTGGACCAGCTATGGCTCTTGCAGCCATTAGGGGAGTAAACCAAAAAATAGAAGATTTCTCTATGTATCTCTCCCTTTCTCTCTAACTCTGCCTTTCAAAGAAATAAAATAAATCTTTCTTTTAAAAAAAGAACATTTAACAACACAGATACAGAATACACATTATTTTCAATAGTGCATGGAATCTTCCATAGTGTGGACCATTTTATAGGCCATAAAGCATGTCAATAAATTAAAAAAAATTAAAATCATACCATGTATATTTGCTGGCCATATGGAATAAAGCTGGAAATTAACAACAATCTCTAGAAAATATGCAAACACATGGACACTGAACCACATACTACTTGAATGAACATTAAGTCATAGAAAAAATCTAAATCTAAAAATATTTTAAAATCCTAGAGAGATGACAACATAACAAATCACAAAAATGGGATGCAGAAAAAACAGAGTTCAGATCAAAGTCTATGGCAATTAGTGCCAATTTTGAGAAATTGGAAAGCAATCAAGTAAAGTCTAACAATGCATCTCAAGGACCCAGAAAAACAGGGACAAATCAAACACAAAATCAGTAGAAGAAAAGAAATAATAAAAAGCAAAGAAGAAATAAACAAAATTTAAATTAAAAAAATGAGTATCTTGGGTAGTTGAATGTGCCAATTTCAATTGCTCTTGGATAGGAAAAGAACAAAGGAAGGGCATTTGTAGAGGTCAGGATGATGGAATGTTTGATGAAGAACTGAAGAAACAATGAAGACTCTGGGACAAGAGGAGAGAAGACAGAGACGCTGCTGCAGCCAGCCACATGGTACAGCCATTGGCCAGCTCTCAGCTGACATCTGACCACATCAAAGTAGGGAGAAATGCATCTGCAACTAACTGCTTTGTTTTAGCTGAGAGAGAATTCCACAGACCCCCATTGACTTGACTATTTCATCCTGGGGGGCCAGTGCCGGGGCTCACTAGGCTAATCCTCTGCCTTGCGGCGCCGGCACACCGGGTTCTAGTCCCGGTCCAGGCGCCGGATTCTGTCCTGGTTGCCCCTCTTCCAGACCAGCTCTCTGCTGTGGCCAGGGAGTGCAGTGGAGGATGGCCCAAGTACTTGGACCCTGCACCCCATGGGAGACCAGGAGAAGTACCTGGCTCCTGACTTCGGATCAGCGCGGTGCGCTGGCTGCAGCACGCCGGCTGCGGCGGCCATTGGAGGGTGAACCAATGGCAAAGGAAGACCTTTCTCTCTGTCTCTCTCTCTCACTGTCCACTCTGCCTATCAAAAAAAAAGAGAGACTATTTCATCCTGGGGGGAAGGTGATTGGTTTCTGAGCAACTGCCAGACTTGGAAGAGGAATGCCACGTTACTTCCCTCCCCTCCCCCATCCCTAGATACATATGACCTACCAAGATTAATTCAAGAAAATATATATAATCTAAACAGGCCCACAAGAAACAATGAGTTTGAAGCAGAAATCAAGTTTCTGATCAAAGAAAATTCTGGGACCTGATGGCTTTACTATTAAATTCTACAAGACATTCAATGAAGAAATAATTCCAATACTCTTCAAACTGTTGCAAAATTCTGAACAAGATGGAATTCTTCCACTCTTTGGTGGAGGCATTATTTTGATACCAAAATTGAGCAAAGACATGACACAAAAAGAAAACTATTGATCTATTGTCGCTCCCCCTCTTCGTGGAGGAACGACACAGGACCCTGCGCTGTTCTTTTGTCTGCTCGGCCCTTCCCGGGTTTGCTGCTGGTTCTTCCCGGGTTGGCTGCCATCCTTCCACCTCTGTGGAGGGGCGGCTCCCCCTGCCACTTTCCCCACTTCCGTGGGGGAGTGGCACACCACCGGCCGGCTCTCTCGGGGGCTGCTCAGATGTTATCCGGATGCTCCCTTTAGATTTTCCTGGTGCATGTTGTCTCTCTCCTCTTTTATAGTCCTCTTCCACCAATCCCAACTCTGCTACCCACACGCCGAGTACACTGCTCTCCTCCTATCAGGAGCAGGATCAGCTCCTGCAGGTTATTGGTCGAACTGGAGGCAGCTGTGTAGAAGCTGTTTCCTCCTCTCCCAGTGCCATATTGTGGGAGAGCAGATGCATAGAATAAGTCTTAATTCCAGTAACTTAGTCTAGTCCGAGTTGCTCCCCACAACCTATCCTTTTTTTTTTTTTTTTGACAGGCAGAGTGGACAGTGAGAGAGAGAGACAGAGAGAAAGGTCTTCCTTTTGCTGTTGGTTCACCCTCCAATGGCCGCTGCGGCCGGTGCACCGTGCTGATCTGATGGCATGAGCCAGGTGTTTCTCCTGGTCTCCCATGGGGTGTAGGGCTCAAGCACTTGGGCCATCCTCCACTGCACTCCTGGGCCACAGCAGAGAGCTGGCCTGGAAGAGGGGCAACCGGGACCGAATCCGGCGCCCTGACCGGGACTAGAACCTGGTGTGCCGGTGCCGCTAGGCGGAGGATTAGCCTAGTGAGCCGCGGTGCCGGCCTGACCTATCCTTAATGAATATAAATGCAAAGATGCTCAGCAAAATATTCACAAATCAAATCCGAAACCACATCAAATAGATCACATATCTTGGGTTAATATCATGATCAAGTAGGATTTAACCCAGAAAGGCTAGGATGGTTCAACATTCATAAATCAATAAACATCATAAATCATATAAATAGAACAAAGAATAAAAATCATATGTCATCTGAAAAGATGCATGAAAGCATTTGATAAGATTCAATATCCCTTCATGAGAAAGACTATTTGCAAATTATGTATAGGAGAAATATTCCTCAAAATTATAAAGTCTGTATATCAGAAACCAATAGCAAAGATAATATTGAATGGGGAAAAACTGAAAGCATTTCCCTTCAGATCAGATATCAGATAATATTGATTGAATAAGGATGTCCATTTTCACTACTTAAATTCAATATAACCATAGAAGTTAAAGCAATTAGGGAAGAGAAAAATAAAGGAGTTCAAAATTGGAAAACAATAAGTCAAATTACCTGTCTTTGCAGATGACCTGATGTTGTCCATGTAAAAATCTGCACACGCCAACAAAAAGCTGTTAGAATATTAAACCAGTTCAGTAAAGTTGCAGGTTACAAAATGAATGTACAAAAAAGTAGCAATTTATATACTAATCATGAACTTGCAGTAAGAGTAATCAAGGAAGAAATCCAACTCACAATTGCCACACCAAAATTCATATGTTTGGGAATAAATTTGACCACAGAAGTGAAAAATCTGTACAGTGAAAATTATCAAACATTGGTGAAAGTAATCATCAAAGACAAAAAAACGAGAGGATATTCCTGGCAAATGGATTGAAAGAATCCAAATCATCAAAATGCCTATACCCCCTCCAGCAGTCTACACATTCAATACAATCTCTATTAAAAAAAAATGACAATCTGCTTTTGAAAGAACATGGATGCAACTGGAAACCATTGTACATAATGTGATACATCAGTCCCAAAAAGACAAATATCATGTTTCCTTCATCTGTGGTAACTAAAAGAGTATTTAAAAAGTAAAGTACATGAAGGAATTGGCATTTTGAGGTTGTCTATATTCCCATTTAAAAATATTCCTTTCGCTTTTAACTTGCTAAACTTCTTATACCAGGAAGAATGGACCCATTTTACTGCAATGTAAATTTAACAGATGTGCTCAAAAGCAAAAAGAAAGGTAGAGAGGACGATACAGGGGGGGAGAGGGACAAAATGAATATCATTATATTCTTAAAATTGTACCTATATTCTAAACTGAATCTGTTAAAAACTAATTTTAAAATAAAACGAGGGGGCCAGAGCTGTGGCGTAGCAGGGAAAAGCCCTAACCTGCCGTGCCAGCATCCCATGGTGTGGGTCATGTTTCATACTTCTGCATGTAGAGATCCCTTTTACAGCACCATTTTTGGGAAAGGTTTTCCTGGCTCCATGGATTGATTTCAGCTCCTCTGTCACAGAAAAGTTTGTTGTAGATGAATTGAAATATTTCTGGGGTTCTGCTCTGTTCCAAGGGTCTACATGTCTATTCTTGTGCCAGTACACAGCTGTTGTGATTTTAACAAACTGCAATGTATAATAAAATCTGTAATTGTGATGCCTCTAGCTTTGTTTTGCTGTTCGGAGTCACTTATGTTTCCATATGAATTTCAGCATCATTGTTCTAGATCTGAGAAAAATGTCATTGGTATTTTGATTAGGATCACATTGAATCAGTAATTTGCTTTCTGCAGTATGGACACTTTGGTGATATTAGTTCTCCCAATCAACAAATACATAATATTTTTCATTTTTTGTGATTTTTTATATTTTATAATGTTTTAAAATTTTTATCATAGAGATCTTTGACCTCCTTGGTTAAGTTTGTTCCAAGGAATTTAATTTTTTTAGTTATTGTAAATGTGATTGCTCTTAAAGGTTATTTCTTAGCCATGGCATTGTCTGAGTGTACAAAGGCTATTGATTTTTGTGTGTTGATTTTATGCACAGCAACTTTTTTTAACTTTTATTTAATGAATATAAATTTCCAAAGTACAGCTTATGGATTACAATGGCTTACCCCCCCCATAATTTCCCTCCCACCTGCAACCCTCCCCTTTCCCTCTCCCTCTCCCCTTCCATTCCTATCAAGATTCATTTTCGATTCTCTTTATATACAGAAGATCAGTTTAGCATACATTAAGTCAAGATTTCAACAGTTTGCTCCCACACAGAAACATAAAGTGAAAAATACTGTTTGAGTACTAGTTATAGCATTAGATCTCAATGTACAGCACACTAAGGACAAAGATCTTACATGAGTAGTAAGTGCACAGTGACTCCTGTTGTTGACTTAACAAATTGACACTCTTGTTTATGGCATCAGTAATCACCCTAGGCTCTTGTCATGAGTTGCCAAGGCTATGGAAGCCCCCTGAGTTCACTGACTCTGATCATTTTTAGACAAGGCCATGGTCAAAGTGGAAGTTCTCTCCTCCCTTCAGAGAAAGGTACCTCCTTCTTTGATGACCTCTTCTTTCCACTGGGATCTCACTCACAGAGATCTTTCATTTAGGTCATTTTTTTTGCCAGAGTATCTTGGTTTTCCATGCCTGAAATACTCTCATGGGCTTTTCAGCTGGATCCGCATGCCTTAAGGGCTGATTCTGAGGCCAGAGTTATGCACAACAACTTTATCAAGCTCTCCTGTGACTTCCAATAATCTCTTAGTGGAGCTTTTGGATCTCCTATATATAGAACCATGTCATCTGCAAACAGGGATAATTTGATTTCCTCCTTTTCAAGTGTATCTCCATTGATTTCTCTTTCTTGCCTAATGGCTCTGGCTAAAACTTTCGGGACTAAATTGAATAGTAATGGTGAAAGTGAGCATCCTTGTCTGGTTCTTGCTCTTGGTGGAAATGCTTCCAAACTTTCCCCATTCACTAAGATACGGGCTGTGCATTTGTCGAACAATACTTTGGTTATGGCAAAGAATGTTCCTTCCCTCCCTTTCAATTATTTTGCATAGCTTGAGAAGTATTGAATTAGTTCTGAATTAAAAGTCTGGTAGAATTCAGCAGCGAAGCATCTGGTCCTGGGCTTTTCTTTGCTTGGAGGGTCTTTCTTACTGACTCAGTCTCTATCTTGGTTATTGGTCTGTTTAGGCTTTCTGTGCCTTCATGACTCAATTTTGATATGTTGTATGTATTCAGGAATCTACATATTTCTTCTACATTTTCCAACTTGTTGACATATAACGGTTTGTAGTAGTTCCTGATGATTCTTTTTTTTTCTGAGGTATTCATTGCTGCATCTCCTTTTCATCTCACTTTATTAATTGGAATCTTCTCCCTTTGGTTGTTTCTCTTTATTTAAGTATGCCAATTATGTATCAATTTTGTTTATTTTTCTAATAAACCAACTCTTCATTTCACTGATATTTTGTATTTTTGTTTCATTTTTGTTTATTTCTTCTCTAATATAATTTTTTCCTCCTATTAATTTGTGGTTTGGTTTGTTGTTTTTCTATGTCCTTAAGGTGCAATGATAGCTCATTTGTTTTATGTCTTTCCAGTTTCTTGATATAGGTGCTAATTGCTATACACTTCCCTTTCACACTGCTTTTGCTATATTCCCTAATTTTTGACATGTTGAATTTCCATATTTATTCACTTTCAATATTTTTTAAAATTTCTCTTTGTATTTCTTCTATGACCCATTCATAGCATGTTGTTCATTCTCCATGTGTTTGCATATTTTCTAGAGATTGTTAGGTTGTTCATTAACAGCTTCATTTCATTGTGATCAGAAAAGATGCATGGTATGATTTCAATATTTTTGAATTAGCTGTGACTAGCTTTATGGCCTAGTATATAGAATATCCTAGAGAAATCTACAAGCACTGATTTAAAAAATGCATTCTACAAGTGAGTGACGAAATGTTCTGTACAACGCTGTTTTCTCCTCCATGGATATTTTGGGCACCTGAATAGTGAGGACTGATTCGCAGATAGAAGAAGGGGTGGGTGCAAGTGTGGGGAAAGATGATTTCTGGGAGAGAATAAGCATGTAATTATGGTTTTAAAAATATTGCACAATTGTGGGACAATAGAATAATCAATACCTAAATGCCAGAGGGCACACAGGATAGAAATAGGGAAGAAGAAATTTATAAATAAAACAGATAAAACTTATGACTTCATTCTGTAGACAGGGTCTCACTTAGTTTCAGGATTATCTCCTGTGGAACAGCTTCTATTGAAGATTTCTGAGTCAAGCACACAGAGGTTGTCTTAAGCAAATTGAAAGAGAGTCCAAGGATCAAACGTGGAAAAGCAATGATATAAACATTCATTTCTATCGGAGAGTGTTAGAAAGGATATTACGGCCGGCGTCGTGGATCACTAGGCTAATCCTCCACCTGCAGCGCTGGAACACCGGGTTCTAGTCCCGGTCGCGGCGCCCGATTCTGTCCCGGTTGCCCCTCTTACAGGCCAGCTCTCTGCTGTGGCCAGGGAGTGCAGTGGAGGATGGCCCAGGTGCTTGGGCCCTGCACCCCATGGGAGACCAGGATAGGCACCTGGCTCCTGGCTTCAGATCAGCGTGGTGCGCCGGTCGCAGCGCGCCAGCCGTCACGGCCATTGGAGGGTGAACCAACGGCAAAGGAAGACCTTTCTCTCTGTCTCTCTCTCTCACTATCCACTCTGCCTGTCAAAAAAAAAAAAAAAAAGGATATTACACAATCAAGGAATCAAGGCTGTACCTAAGGTCATTTTCTGTCTTTTAACATTTTATTATTTTTTAAATGCTTTATTTTTTTCACATGAATGTGATCTCAGTACAAAGAGAAGAGAATCAATGTAGTTCATAGGTTTGATTCTAAGAATATAATATTCTCTTCTTCCCTGCAACCCACCAGTCCTTCCCCCTACATCCCTCCCTCCCTTCTCCTTCCCTCCCCTCCCCTTTCCTTCCCTTCCCTTCCCTTCCTTTCTTTGCTTTTTTAAATAACATTTTATTTTTAAAAACTTATGATTACCATGCCATAATTGAGCATTTGAGGAGGGCACAGTGTAATATTACAACACACATACACAGGATAAACAAATCGAGTCGGGCAAATACCCTTTTATTTCCCTTTCTTTCTGCTTGGAGCCTACTGGCTCCTCTCTTGCAGTTCTTTATATGGTATATAATACATTATCTTGAACCGCAGTCACCCCACTGTGCTATGGAACACTAGCACAGGTTACTTCCATCTGATTGTGTTTTAGATTCAATTATTCAACCTCCCTCAGTCCCCTCTCTGTCACCCCTCCAGCCTCTAGTTACCACTATCCTAAGTTCTGATCTTCCATTCTTTGAAGTTCAACGTAGGGGAAAGAACATGAGAAATCTGTCTTGGTCTGGCCTATTTCACTTTGTGTGATGCTATCCAGTTCCATTCATTTTGCTGCAAATGTCAGGAGTTCATTCTTTTTTATGGCTGAAAAATATCCCATTGTATCTATAGGCCACATTTTCTTGACTCATTCATCAATTAATGCATACTGTATTAGTCATCTTTTCATGACTTTATCTAGAATACTTGAGAGCCAGCTGTTAAACAGATACTTCAGATTGTGGGACCAGCTTTGAAACTGGGTAGTGGGCAGAGATTGGAAGAGTTTTGAGGTGCATACTAGGAAAAGCCTACATTGCTGTGAATGTAGTTTCAAGGGTAATTCTGGCCAGGGCCCAGAAAGAGAAAGGAAGAGCTATAGAAAAAGCCTCAGTCTTCTTAGAGAATACCTACTAGTCTTGAATCTAATGTTGATAAGAATATGACTGGCAAAGACCCCTCTGATTAGACCTCATATATAAATGGGGAGTATGTCATTGAACCATGGAGGAGAGGTGATCCTTGTTATTAGAGTGGGAAAGAACTTGGCTAAATTGGGCTCACATTCCAGTTTTTGTGGAAGGTAGACCTTACAAGAGATGAAGTTGGATGTATGACTGAATGTCTCTAACCAGTGTATGAGTGGCTTGGCTCCTCTTAACTGTTTTAGCAAAAATGGCGACACGAGTAATTACTTAAAGACAGTCTTTTTAAGCAAAAAAGGAGCTGGTATCTAAAGTTTTAGAAAATTATCATCAGTCTATTTTGAAAATAATGAGGAAGCCTGTACAATGAGAACGCTAAGAGTTGAGGCCACAGCCGTGTCGTAAGATTAGTCATCCATCTACACAGAAGCCAGATACTCTCCTTCAAGACAGTAGAAGAATAATGTGGAAGGAAGTTCCGATAATGGACCCATAATATGTCCTCCTGTTTGTTTTCTGAGGTCTGGGGTCACTTGAGTTCACAATGCCCCTTCAATTTCCAGGGCTAGGTCATTCAAGAGACAGTCCCTCAGGTGGGTGTCATGGATGCAGTGATGCTCACTCCATCTTGAAGCTCCTTCAACAAGAAAATAGATATGTCTGGAATCATCTCTTGGACAAGCTGGGGGAAGTTACATGAGGTGCCGAGCATTGGCTCCAGCTACTGGAGTGCTCCTGGTAGTTGGTGCTCTAGTAGCTCTCTGATGCAAGTTCACTATAAACAGGGCCAAAAAAGTAGCCACTGGGAGTGTATGCTGTGGGCCCTTCCCAGAGAGAAAATGTGCCGGAGCCCAACTCCAGCCAGTCTAGGGGTTCCCAAAGGTGTGAGAGGTGTCGGCACAGGAAGAAATGAGAGACAAACTCACAGCAAGGCTGAAGGCATGGCTCTGTCTCTCAAGCACCAGAATTTATTTTTGTATCATAAGTCACAAAATGATTCTTTCTTCTTACAGTAACA